ATTTAAGCAATTCTAGCATGAATACTTTAGTGATAATTTGTGACACATATAATTTAGAAGAAGAGAGTGATTATCACAATTTATGTGTGAACCAAAAACTTTCTTGTTTCTTCTCCATAAAGTTCACTACATCCATCTATTGCATGCATGGCTCAAATTCAATTATACTTTATTAAAGTTATGCTAATTAATTAATAAATTAATAAAAGGGAACAGAAAAAGATACATACTCCTATATTAATTAAAGATTAAAAAGGCAACTGTTGCCTAATTAAGGATGGTATTTCACATGACATAGTACTATGTAGTATTGCTTTATTATTACATTGTCAACTGTGACAAACTATTCCTTTAAATCCACCATTTGTTAGTCCATATTTATTACATCAACCAACTAGATTTGGAGTTTTATATTGTTCTTCTTTTCTTTGACTTGCATTATAATAATATTCTTGTTCATAATAGAGAAGAATTCATACAGCTATACAATATACTGTCTAGTAGTTGTATCAGCCCATTTTTTATTCTACGATTTCTACATCATGTGTTCATGAATAATAATGCATTTAACTTGTAAAAATTCTAGCTCGAATACCTTCTTGTAAGGTTTGGTAGTATTACAACATAATTTACTTTTAATTTCATATAAGAGATATAGGAGAAGTGAAAATGTAATATGTCACGTGTCATATTGTCTTATCAAATGTCTCTAGTTGGTCTTAGCTTGGACTACTTGTAAAGTAGTAAGCCTTTTTATTATTATGTTAAAAAATAAAATAAAAAAAAGGTAACTTTTTCTTAATAATATGAAGATTAATTTTGAAATGATAATCTAATTTTATAATAATTTTGTTTTATTAATTTTGATTTGATCAATTGGATCGGATCTTGTCAATATACTTTGTATATGCAAGAATTTTTACAATAGCATTATGTAAGCTAGCCTTGAAAATCATATACAAGTATCTTCTAGCTAGACAAGATTCAAGTATATTAAATAACTTTGAGATATCATATATATATATATATAAAATTTCTTTTGCATCTAGCATACATGCCAACAATATTATAAGAAGAGAGAAAAGTTTTATGAATGAAGTAGTGTACGTACTTCGTACATGCTTGACAATTCAACCTACGCATATATGGCACTTTTCTTTCATATCCCTATTACATTTAGAACAATGTGGCCACAACACTAATTAAAGTTTTGTACCAAAATATCTATATATTGATCGATATATACACCTACATTTGTAGTACTCATGAAGTAAGACTTAAAATATCTTATCAACAACACCCAACATGAAACATTGACTTAAAATGTAAAAATGTAAAATGTCACGTGTTATACTGCTAAATACGAGTCTAGGCCATCCCCTTAATCCAAGAGAGAGAGATTCCACTTTCACAAATACAAAGGGATTTCATCCCAACAACACCCAACATGAAACATTGACTTAAAATGTAAAATGTCACAGTGTCATATTGTTAAAGTGTTTAACTATTTTTTGTTTTTTCAATATGGGACATTTACATGCGTTATTTGGTAAGATATACTTCAACACTTCCTTAATACCATTAAAGGCCCCAAACCTTGGGCCTAGCAATATACTCAAGCCATTAGAAATCCCATACCATAGGCCTGACGACTCTAATACCATGTTGAATACGAAATTGGGCCGCATCCGCAAGAGAGAGAGAGAGAAAGAGAGAGAGAGAGGGAGAGAGAGAGAGAATTCATATCACAAATCCAAATGAGGTTTCATCCCACAACCATATGACAATAAGTGGAGTCGACATTGCATTTTATATGACAATAAAATGTTTCATATCACAAAATCTCTTCATCATTGCATCTAGTAACATACTATCAATCAATCAATCAATTAATCAAAGTCTTATCCCATGAGTGAGTCGGCTACATAAATCAAAAGTGATTATTCCGAATAATCATCCACAAGAATCTTCTACTACTCCATCTCTTGCGATCAAATACTTCAAATCCATATGCCATATCCTTCCCTACTCATTCCAACCAAGTCATTTTTCACTCTCCCTCTACCTCTACCTCGTTTAACCTATCTTGTAAGAAAGATAGAAAAGTTTTAAGAATGAAGTAGTACGGTGGACGTACCTACTACATATACGACACTTTTCTTACTTTCATATCCCTTTTACAATTAGAACAATGGGGTCACAATTCCAACCTTTTGTACCAAAATATCTATGTATTGATCTATATATAGATATTTGTAGTACTCGTATGAATTAAGACCTATAACACCTTATCAACAACACCCAACACAAAACATTGACTTAAAAACATGACAATAACAGGGTTAGTTGGTAATAATAAGTGAAAGATAGCGTAGACTTTTAGTAGTAGGATGGCCTCGGAAATATAGCCGCGCCGGTTGTATATTGAATTTTCTAGTCAGCTCCTTTCTCACACGCAAACTAACACTAGCATGTCAACGGGTGCAAGTCTTTATCATCTCTACACATCTCTTTATTATGTTGCCTCCACTTGGTATCACCTATAACACACATTCCAAGGATAACATTATTTGTTCAAACTATTTTGTCATTAATTTTACTCTCTCCGTCTAATAATATTGTATGCGTCTTCACAAAAATTCTTCGTGTTTGAATTTATGTTTGGACGGTGGTGAGCATCATGCAAAATGAAACGAGTTGCAGTCAAATCAACACGTTACAAAAACTATTCATGTTTCGATGTTATGTTTGGACAGTGATCGTCATGCTGATTAGCAGTCAAATTAGGAAAAACGACTTTAAAGATGGAGATTGAATAGAAGTACATGACTTGCTAAGTTTGTTTATTTTTATTCTTTATGTTTGGATTTTATATGTGATTTTGATATGCGTTTCTAATTTAAGACTTCATTTTATTAGAAAGTATATATTGCTTCGTAGTGATTAGACAACTTTGTTGTTAGGATTAAGACTTTGATTTTGTTCATTAATTGAAATAAGAATAAAAAAAAAAGGAAATACATAATCATAAAATTCATAAGATTTTCTTTAAAAAAAACAAACAAACCTTTTTCTAAATATAATATAATTTATTTTTATTGAGCTGAATGTAATATAATATCATAAATTCTTTTTAATAAACATCATTTTTTATTATTTAGAACAACTTAATGGTTGGCCTATATACTTATTAGCTTAATATGCCACATAAGATTTTCAAGAAGCTATTGTGCTCCAATGGTTAGCAATGCAAGTTGCTTAAGATATTTTTTTAAATTATGTTTACGTATAACCCTCCACTTTTTAATTATTGCACCCCTTGCCTGTTAAGAAAATTTCACAAATATTACCATATCCATTTTAAGAAACAAAATATTTGTGTTCACACTATAAATACCTAATATATTCTTACTTTTAACACTTTATTGTTTAGTTTATGTTTACATCATATGGACAGTTTCGTACTTTTACCCTTATTTCTCTTACTTTTTCCCACTATTAAAAAATGTGTGCCAACCTCTATAGTACAATAATAAAAGAATGGGGGGAGTATTAATTTAGTATTTACTTACTCTTTCAATAAGATAAATAAATAATAAATTTAATTCTTTGTTTTTCCAAGCTAATTAGTTTTGTAGAGTTAATTTGCTTAGTTTGGCCATTATTAAAAAAGCTTCAGTGGTTAGCTATTTACTTTATTAATTTTGAAAATTACAAGCTAATCCCTACAATTTATTTAGTTACACTAGGATCGTGACAACTAAATTCAAGCCATAAGAACCACTCCATAATTTTTTCTTAAAAAATGAATCTTTATTTGCAGCTCTTCTGATAATCTCAATTATACTTCTTTCACGAGGAATGGCAATTCCTGACAATATGATCCTACAATTTTGACAGAATTTATATACAGATCATCTACGCGTATCACACATTAAACTCTGATTTTGTGCAAATACTATTTTTCCAACTTACATACTTCATACTTGTGCTGTTGATTGCAACATTGCATGTTATCACACTGCATTATTATTTTTTTCATACTATATAGTTTATATATATATATATGACTATAAAATGTTAATGTTATATAGGAAATTGAAGAACCCTTCGTCTTATAGTGTTTGCATGTTACTTTATTTTGGAATGTACCAAATTATTATTTGTTTCATCAAATAATGTAGTGGGGCATACATCTTTATTTTTAGTATTTTCAATTCATTTCATTTCATTGTTTCATCAAATACTAATGTTTAACATTGTTGAAGGCATCATGTGTTCATCATAGAACCGATTTCTAGCTAAAAGGGTAAGGTAGAGCCGAAGAAAAGAACACACAAAATTAGATGCTTATTATTAGGCCAAAAAAACTATGTCATATATTAGAAGGATTATTATCATACAACTTAAGCAAACCATATATGAACTCGATCGGACGAACATTCCTAGTAAATCCTTACTAGGATTCATTATAATCGCTACTAGAGAGTTTAAGTATTCGATCGGGAGTTATTTTCTTTTCTGTTTTTTGAAAAAATAAAATAAAATATAAAAGGCAATTTATGGCCAAGATCTCCATGTTGTCAAATGGTGACAAGAATAAATACGTACAGTATCTAGCTAACAATATGCCGCATCTATACGCCCTCACATGAACATATTATATACTCGTAATGTTTAATACGTTGGATTTGTGGAACACACCAAGAGTATAAAGCACAAAATCCTCCATTTAAACGTATGGTATTTCTTGCAATTTTCCCCTTTCTTTTAGGAATATTATATGTATTTGTGTCCTTAAAATATAACACTATGTAACACTGAATCAAAATAAGATATTCTAAATCGAGTAAGGTAAGTCACTCCTAATTAAGTAACTACGCTTTTTAACTCATACTTATTATATAATCATTTATACACATATTATTATAAAATTTTAAAAATTCCCATATATGCCAAGATTACTTTGCCTAAATTACTTTATATTATCATTCTTATGATAAATTTCCATAGCCTTTAAAATTAATTTGAGTAGCTAGCGTTGCCCAAAAACCCCTTAAAAACAACAAAAGGTAAACATTGAAGAAAAGAGATTTAAAAACGCAATTAATGCATGCGGTGTGGCTAACCAAATGTTGCACCTTTTTTTTTTCTCTTTTTTTTTGAAGCCAAATGTTGTACTTTTTCAGTCAACTTGAGTTTTTATTCTCTATAAATTCTCTTCCTAACTATATCCCTCGTTAGTTTCTTTCTCACACATCACACAACAATCTCTCTTTCTCTCTTTTCACTTTCTCTCTCTAAAATTCACTTCAATTCTAAGAATTTTGAAAAACACAACAACAACTCAACAACCATGTTGTTCCCAGCGGTTGTTTCTAGAGTTATAGAATGGCTTGTTTATCAACTCTTTGTCAACTCTTGTTTTCCCGTTGCTAGAAAAATCAGAAACTATAGTTTCCATCTTTTGAAAAACCCTTCTTTTAAATCAACAACCCACCAACACCAACAACAACCATCTTCAACGTCGTACCAAAGTTTATCAAAACACTTGAATAAAATAATGGACCGACATTTTAATACTATGGTTTGTGATTTTAATGGAACATTATTAAGATCACAATCTTTCTTCCCATTTTTCATGTTGGTTGCTTTTGAAGGTGGTAGTTTAATAAGATCATTTCTTTTGCTCTTATCATACCCCTTTATTTATTTTTTAGACTATGATTTTCAACTTAGGGTTATGATTTTTATAACATTTTGTGGGCTTAAGGTAAAAAATATGGCTTGTGTTGAAAGGACCGTTTTACCCAAGTTTTACCTTGAGGAGGTAAATTATCATGTTTATCAAGCTTTAACTAGGGCAAATTATAAGGCTGTTTTTACACGTGTCCCAAGGGTAATGGTTGAAGGGTTTCTTAAGGAGTATTTGAAGGTTGATCAAGTTTTTGGGACTGAGTTGAACGTAATTGGAAATTACTATTCTGGCCTTTTATCTCATGAAGGTTTGCTTGTTAAGTATAGGTCAATTAAGGAATATTTTTCAGATGCAAGACCTGATTTTTGCATTGGAAATTCAACCTTTGTTGATCACTTCTTCATGCAATTTTGCAAGGTAAATGTTTATTTACTTTTTTACATATATATTTTGTAATTTATTTATGCATCAATTACTTATTAATTACATTTTATATATGTTGTTTAATTTTTTTTTTATTTTTTTATTATGACTTTCTATATTTGTTTGTTTTTAAGAATACATATTTAGGCAAAACAAACCATAGATAGTATAGTCAAAGTTAGGTAATGTCACAAGTACATGCAAAACAAACAACAAGAATTGTAGTGATTGACTGATTGCTAATTAAAGTAGGTGTCCTTAAAAAACACCAATAATGCATGAAAATATAAAGGGAAATGAATTATTAACTACATTATTATTGTTTCTTGGATTTTCCAATTTTTTTCTACATTATTATTGTTCCTTGGATTTTCCATTATTTTTATTTTTATTTTATTATAAATTTATAAGTAATTTAGTACTGAAATTTGAATTTCCCTAACCTTAAAATAAGAGAAAAATAAATAAAGTTGTTTATTTATAAGTTTTATTTATGCATCTACTTTATTTTTTTGTGGCTACTCCATTCATATAATTATAAATGTGATGTGATGCAACCAAATAATTAGTTTATTCTTTTAACTAAAAATACATGGAACAATCTTTGTGCTAGAAATCTTTCATGTATTTTATAAGATTTATATTATAGTTAGTCATGCCACTGACTCACTGAATTTTTATGATTTTTCCTATGTATTTTTCATTTTTACCCCTATTATTAATAAATAAGCATCAAAAGGCCACTCTCTATTTACTTAGGAGGCGGTATAGTAATAAATTTAAATTATCACTATTATATTGTTGTGTTGGTGTTCAATTGTTCATGAGGCAACAAATCATGCATCTAGTAATTCAGGCTCTTGACATGTTTCATGATTTCAATTTTGACCAAGAAAAGAAATAATAATTGACTTACAAGAAGATAAATATCATTGTCACACACATAGCATTTAATGATATCATAAATACATAGTGTATGATAAATATTATAGTAATGTAATAAGTTTTTAAAATTTATGTTACAGGAAGCATATGTTGTGGACCTACAAGAAGATGACAAAATATGCAAAAATGAGGAAGTAACATCATCAAAAATAATGCCAAGGGACAAATATCCTAAGCCCTTAATATTTCATGATGGAAGATTAGCTTTTCTTCCTACACCATCAGCTACTTTGTGCATGTTCATGTGGCTTCCCTTAGGGATTCTTCTTGCCATTTTTAGGGTTGTTGTGGGTGTTTACTTGCCTTTTAAGTTGTCCAATCTATTAGGGCAACTAAGTGGCATACGCCTACGAATCAAGGGGACATCCCTTAATTTAAACCCTAGTAACGGCCACAAAGGTGTCCTATACGTGTGCACGCATAGGACACTTTTGGACCCAGTCATCCTTGGCGTGTGTCTTAAAAAACCCTTGACTGCTGTCACGTATAGTCTGAGTAAAACATCAGAAATAATCGCACCAATTAAAACTGTCCGATTAACACGTGATCGGAAAATTGACGGCGAAACAATGGAAAGGCTCTTAAGTGAAGGTGACCTAGTGGTGTGCCCTGAGGGGACCACGTGTAGGGAACCCTACTTGTTACGATTTAGCTCATTGTTTGCGGAATTAGCGGATGATATTGTACCGGTCGCCTTAGAGACAAAGGTGACCATGTTCTATGGGACGACCGCCAGTGGGCTAAAATGTTTGGACCCAATATTCTTTTTAATGAACCCAAGTCCTATTTACTACCTAGATGTGCTAGGGAAGGTGCCAAAAGAAATGACTTGTGCTGGTGGTAAATCATGTTTCGAAGTGGCTAACAATTTGCAAAGACAATTGGCTAATGCCTTGGATTTCGAGTGTACATCTCTTACTAGGAAGGACAAGTACTTAATGTTAGCTGGAAATGAAGGAAAGGTCGGTCCATGACCATATAGTATATTTTTATTTTTATTTTTATTATTATCTTTATTTTGAATGTTTATCCTAATTTGGATGAATTTTAGGACATAGAATATTAGAAATATTAGTTATATATATATATAAATAGGAGTTTTTTTTTTTTTTTTGGATCATGTATCCCAACCTTTTTTTTTTGGCTATATTCCGATGTAACACAGACGAAAATGCACTAATATTATTGTAGTAGGTGGGATTTTATTATTTGGTTGTGTACTATTCTTTTATGTAATATATTTCATAATGGAGTATATATTTTGTTATCCATTAATTATTCTGATACAACTACATTATTTTATGTCAAGCAATTGATTTATAACTATAAATAGACAGACAGTTTTATCATAAAGTTCTCATTCTTCTCAATGTAATGCTATTTCCGTTCTCATTTCTCAGTCATCTCATTTTTATTTTTTGGTTAAATCAAACTTTTTGATATGAGGTTATAATCCTTAGAAATACAAAGTATTTTTTTATCCGTAAAAATCTATGTAAATCAGTAAAAATATTATTTCACAATAAAAAAATAATTTTTTTTTAAAAAATACGTATACACTCATGAATTGGTAAAGAAATCAATTTGAGCGAAAAAAAGTAATGATACGTTTAATACTCATCTTTTATATTAGGGTTAAAAAGAAATGAAACAATTAGTTTTCTTTTATTCACATTTTCATTTTTTATATATTTTTGTAAAAGAAATATATACTTAACAAATGTAGAAACATAGGTCCAAATTAAATGGCTTGGTGTGAGTTTGGGAGTTCTGGTCTAAATTCGGTCCGATCCTAGCTAGCACATTGTCTAGTCTCTAGATAGGTTTGGATTTCAAATTTCAATCTTCTAATCAATTAGGTCCAAAATGGCTTGGTGTGAAATCGGGAGGTGAAATCCGATCCTATCATCCAGATCTTGAATTTCAAATTTCAACCTTCATTCCGATTTGATTTTGTCCCGTAGTTCACCAATGAACAACCTTAGTTTGAGGACTCGTCGTGTGTACATGTGTTTTTTCTTTAATATAAGAGAACGTCGAGTTATTCAATGTAATTTTTTTTTTTTTTTTTTTTTTTTTACAAAAAACATGCATTTTTGGAATGTCATACTTGAGGTCTGTGGATGCTAGGTTATCCCGGAAGATGAAAATTTTCAAATATTGTAGTTTCAAATGCTAAGGCATCCCTATAGATATAAAAAAATAAAGGATTAAGTCAAAAATTTATGTACGTATAATTGTTGATTTCCTGTAATGACCCCAACTTGTTGTAACTTTAATTTCATAAAGTAGCCCAAACTAACATATAACATCAGTGCGTTGCACAAAACTTAAGTGTATGTACCCTATACGGCTAAGGTCTTCTATATTTAGAGAAATTATATTGAGTCAATCATCCTTATTACTAATGTATGGTTGGTGCCGCATGGTGCACCCGGAAAAAACATTAGGTATATTTAAAAGAACATGGGCGAAAAAAAGAATATTATAGATATTTATAAAGAACGTGAGCATAATATGTTCTTTAATTTTGATTAATATGTTCTTTGAGTTTGAACTATATGTTCTTTACATTATACAATATGTTCTTTAATGTATGTACATTAAAAAAAAAAAAAAAAAAAATCACCCGAGTAACTAGACTAAAGAACATGTTCTTTACTGTATTATCATGTTCTTTTTGTAAAGACTTTATGTTATTTGGTTAGAGGTGATCAAAGTTAGACTGACCCGACTTGATTTTGGACAGGTTTTGGGCAAAAAAATTTCACCCCCGTTAATTTAAATTTTTGGGCGGGTTTGGGATTGCGTTATTATGCATTTTAGTTGATTTTTTATACTCAACACGAAAAGCCCGCACGGCCGGGCCATTTTGGGCAGATTTGGGCACAAAAACTTCAGCCCAAAACTTGGCCCGACTCGAGAAGTGAGCTGATTTTTTAACCTTGGCCCGGTCCGCCCAATGATCACCTATATCTTTGTCAAACACGAACATGTTTTTTTTTGTCAAATATAATGTTCTTTTTCAAACACGTTTAACCACCCAAATAACCATGAAAAATAACATGTTCTTTTTGTAAAGACTTTATGTTCTTTGTAATTTCATGTTCTTGTCAAACACAAACATGTTCTTTTGTCAAACACAGGTATGTTCTTTTTCAAAGACTGGCATGTTCTTTTTTTTGCCCATGTTCTTTAAAATATGTCTAATGTTCTTTCCGGGTGCACCATGCGCATGGTGCACCCAGGTGCACTATACTATTTTCACCTTATTACCTAGCCGGAGATAAATTGATGGCTTATTGGGCTAGGCACATAATTAATTAAGAAAGCCGTCCAATAATCATGCAATAAACTTAATTAATCGGCCTCATTGGCGATTTTCTTGAAATGAACATTATACAAAATTACAAACTTTGCTCTTAATAGTTGACTCATTGTTCTATTGCCCCACCTAACTCTATTATATACTTGTATAGTTTTTTTTTTTTTTTTTTTTTTTTTTTTTTTTTTTTTTTTTTGATAAAAGCAAAGGAACAAGAAGAAAACTATATTAAGTTAGAAAGAGTAACACGACATTCCCTAGCAATGTCGTTTGCCCTTTTAACCTAATCCTTGTGAACCTTTAGAATCGTACACCTTTGAAACGAGCTCCCTACTTCCCTCAGTTCCTTAAGCACCCAATTGATCGAAATGTCCTTACCATTGTTGTCCTGCAAGTTATGCAAAAGAGAAGTTGAGTTGGAGAGCAGAAGAATACCCTGTCTACCCTTTGTCCTAGCCCACTTCATTGCTTCAAGGCAAGCCCAAGCCTCGCAATGAATGACAGAAGAGGCAGTCCCATGTTTTCCTCCTTCATCAACCCCCAAACCCTGCAGGTTGGACTTCACTGCCCAACCAATACCTGCATGTAGGGACCCTTTTTCCCAAGAACCATCAGCTTCCATAATGAAATCCTCAAAACCAGTTTTAACTATACCTAGCTGCACATAATTGAAACCCGGAGGAATAATCGTGTTATCCTTACTAGAGGCCTCTGACTCGGTCGTTCTACTGGATTGTAGATTAAAATTCTCATGGTCTTGCATAGCTTGATCAATGAATTCCCTAACCAGACTTGTCGATCCCCTAGCTCCCTTAAAGCATCTCTCATCTCTACCTTTCCATATGCCCCATAGAGTAGCTATAAACATGACAAATCGGGCACTATGTTTACCATCCTCGCTATAAAACAGCAGGATATAGTGCTGGATCCAACCTCTCAAAGAGTCGAATCCAGGAAAGTCATGGCAAATAGTCAAGGAGCCATCCTCCCAAACCTCTTTTGCCAGAATACAGAATCGGAATAGGTGTTGGCTATCTTCCTCCTCCACTCCACAGTGATCGCAGGTGGCATCCACACCTATCCCCCTTTTGGCCAAATTACCTTTGACCGCAATACCATCATGGAATAGCCGCCACATAAAAAGCTTCTATTTTGGTTGGATCTCCAATCTCCAAATTAGTTTAACGAAATCCCGATCCCTGGCCAAGTAATTGGCCGACTCTAAACCCAAGTCCTTAAACAAAAAGTAGTACCCTGTTTTAACAGTATACCTCCCCGAAGGATGGTATTTCCAGTAGAGGAAGTCGTCCTCCATAGAGTACGGGAGTTCCGTTGCCAGAATTGCCTTTGCACTATTCCAATCGAAGCATTTCCTAACCTTCTCTGCATTCCAAGCCCTTGAATCCTCATCAATAAAATCACTCACCTTCCACTCTGAGGCAGCCCTCAAGGTCTGGCTTGAGTTTACTAGGGGAATTTCCCCTTTCACCCATGGCATGCTGATTGCCCTAATGTGATTGCCATTTCCTACCTTCTAAGCAAACCCTTCCTTGAATACTTGAGTGACTCTCTGAACACTGGACCTACCCATTGAGACATTCCCTTTCCTGAAGTAGGGAGTGTTGATACTACATATGCATTCTAGTAGCCTGTTTGAAAAGGAGGGCATCATTAAGAATTGAGGTGCCCCTAATACCCAATCCTCCCATACCCTTCGGGAGTTGGGTTACACTCCTCTTCACCCAATGCATACCTTTGTTCCCATTGTTAGACCACCAAAACCTCGAGATCAAGGAATCAACCTTATTTACAATCCCCTATGGGAGTTTCATAAATTTCATAATATGGGCAGACATACTTACCAGGACCGTGTTGATAAGGATGAGCTTTGCGGCTTGGGAAAAGCGTAATGGAGCCCAAGAGATGATTTTCCCCGCTACTTTGTCAACAAGGAATTGGAAGAAAGAACTCTTCTTTCTACCAATATCAATCGGTGCCCCCAGATGAATCCCTATATTTTCAATTTCAGGCATAGAGAGGAGTCGTTTCACCACAAGTTTCTTATCATTATCAAGGCCTGGAGAGAACTTTAGAAAAGATTTCTGAAAATTTAACTGTTGGCCTGAGACTTTGCCAAACCTGTGGAGAATGTCGGAAATACACAAACAGGCTTCCTCATTTGCTTTGAAGAAAAGCATAGCACGTCTGCAAAGAAGAGGTGCGAAATTGATGGAGACCTCCGAGAAACCTTCAGCCCCTGAAATTGGTTTATGTCCTCTGCCAAAGTCAACATCCTTGACAGGATGTCCATACAGAAAATGAAGAGATACGGAGACAAAGGGTCCCCTTGTCTCAGCCTACACTTTGGAGCAAAGTGTTCCGAGGTGTTTCTGTTGATAACAGCCTTAAAACTTACCGTAGAGATACACTGCGATATCATCTTTATCCAGTGAATAGAGAACCCATAAGCCTGCAAAACTTTGAGAAGAAAGAGCCAGTCCACCCTATCATAGGCTTTTGACATATAGACCTTAACTGATGTGAAATTTGACCCTTTCCTCGAGTTTATCAGATGCATCAACTCATGACTTAGCAGAATGTTGTCCTCCATATATCTCCCTGGGATAAAAGCATGTTGGTATTCCGAGATAAGATTCGGAAGTACCAATTTGAGCCTGTTAACAAGGCACTTAGAGATGCATTTATAAATAGTATTGCATAAGCTGATAGGTCTGAAGTGACTTGCCATCTCTTGTACCTTAACCTTTAGAATCAGAACCAGAAGAGACTAATTCCATTCCTTGAGCATATTCCCCGTCCTCAGAAATTGCTTAACACTTTCCACTACAAGCCCCCCTACCTCCTCCCAATAGAGCTTGAAGAAGTCTACCGTAAAACCATCCGGCCCAGGCGACTTAGAGCAATGCATATTTAGCATTGCCTTTTTAATTTCCCCCTCTGAAAAACTCCTGTCAAGCCAGAGACGATCTTCGGCTGAGAGGGTGGGAATGGTAAGCTGCCTTAATAAGAGATCGATATTTTCTCCATGATCGTCAATGGTACCCGGATCGTAGACCTCCTTAATGGAGGATAAGATAACCT